TGATGGCTGAGAAAATATACCTAACCACTGATTATCACCAAATATTAGAAGAAATATATGTATATAGAAATCTATATCTATCACTTTAGGTGATGGAAACAACTCTTTGGTGAACAAAACTCTACTCTGTTGTAACATGTTGCGAAAGTATAAAAATGTTGCGAAAGAATTCAACATTCATTACTCGATTATTATTTGGTATCTTAATAACTTATGTTATTGATCATAGATTTATTTTGTGTCAATACTATTTTTTTCTCCGAAATGTTAACTTTTATAAAAAGAAGCTATTTAACTCAAACATGGTATATGTGATATAAACTGAACCAGAGGAGTTAGATTTAATATGTGGGGTATATGAGGTTGCTGTTGTACCAGAGGAGCGGAAATCAGTATATTAGGGTTATAAGGTTTAAACAAAGTCTAGACCAATTTCATTCATATGCAGCGATATACATTATTTTTAAGAAAATTGACGAAAAAAATTATACCATAAGTAGTACATGTGAGCTGGGAAAATCAAAGACCAGAAAATTCCTCCAAACCGTATATTAAAAAATGTTGAATTAAACATCCATTATTAAATGATATCGTGATTAATTTACAATCAAATTTGGTATCTTCTTGACTTATATTAAACGCCATAAACTTAGTCTCAGTTTTATTGCTTGAAGTGAGATATACATAAGTATGAAAATTTTATATTATAAGCTTGGGTGGCAAACGTCAACCAGAGAATCGGAATTCATTGTATGAAGGTGTGAGGTTTAGACTTAGTATATACTAATTTCATTCTAATTCAGCGTCAAACCACATAATTTTTAAGAAATCTTTTCCACTTAATTTCGTTAAAATATCACGTTGATCAACCGGAACGGTGTAAAGTCAGGTGGAAAGACGGAAATCATATATATATTGGGGAAAGAGAAATATATCAATTTTGACATTGCTCAGCTATACTCGAGAACATATTTTGAAGCAATTTTATATATAAACAAGTAAGGAAGGGCTAAGTTCGGATGTTACCGAACATTTTATACTCTCGCAAAGTCAAATGGTATACTCGTTTGAGATTTCTTTGTGGATTGGCTGATATTTTCGGTAGAAGGTCAACTATAGGCACTGGGGTCCACATATTTAGTACTTAGGGGCTTGAACAGTTTGGTTCGATTTAGACAATTTTTAGTCACAAGGTGGCATACTTTAAACGTATTATTCACGCAAAGGTTTACTCCGATATAATCATTGTTACTTGATATGCATAGTGGAAAGAATCAGATGGAATTGAAAATGGTGTTATATGGGAAATAGGCGTGGTTGTAGTCCGATTTCGCCCATTTTCGCACTATAACATAGAAATATGAAAATAACGTTATGTACCTAATTTTGTTGAAATTGATTTAGCAGATCTCAAGATATGGGTTTTCACCTAAAAATGGGCTGTGCCTCGCCCACTGTCTAATTTTAACCGCGGTTCCTATAAAGTCATCTCATACCAACCCAGAGATAAAATTTAGTGTCTCTGGCGTGTTTAGTGCTTGATTTATCGCGCTTTTGGTAGTTTTTAACAGTACCGTTATATGGGGAGTGGGCGGATTTGCCACCCGATTTCAACTATTTTCACACCGTCAATAGAAGTGCTAAAAACATTTGCTTCCAGTGAATTTTGTTATTATAGCTTTAGTAGTTTCGGAGATATTCTCATTAAACCTATTAGGGGCGGGACCACGCCCACTTAAAAAAATTTTTAACAGCAGATGCCCCTTCCTAATATGGTTTCGTGTACCAAATAACACTCTTGTATCTTATTGCGGAGCTTAGTTATGACAATTTATTTGTTTTTGATTAATGGCGTTTTGTGGGCGAAGCAGTGGTCCGATTACGCCCATCTGCAATACCAACCGTCTTACTGTACCAAGAAACATGTGTACCAAGTTTCATAAAGATATCTCAATTTTTACTCAAGTTACAGCTTGCACGGTGATCATTTATATATACATAACCCTATATCTAACTCGATTAGTTTTAGGTGATACAAACATCCGTTAGGTGGACAAAACTATTATACTCTGTAGCAACATGTTGCGAGAGTATAAAAATGGGAAAGCAGCATTGCAAGAGGCTGCTTACATATTAAGCTTAGTACATGTTAAATGGGACTAGCTAATGTGCACAAACAAATATTCATGTAATAGCGTGGACGAAAACATAGCGGTAGCATAAGTGTACAAAGCAAGCGCAAGCAAGCAATAAATATGTAAGTATGAACACAATGCAAATACAATTATTTACTGCATTGAGGTGAATGACTTCTTATGCTTGCCCTTGAATATTAGACAAATAAGTAGAGAACAAGAAATAGCAAAAATATAATATATAGAACATATGACCGTATAATGCAGTGGTTCTCAATCGGTAACCAATATTATATGCTCAGTTAATTTTGCTAAGATATCTTACATATTGACTGATATACTCGTATACGGTATAAAGCGTAAGGAAAGTTTGAAAATCTTTTATTAGGTTAATGGGAGATAAGGGTAGTATTGATTTTATCTAATTTTGGCAATACCACATATTATTAACAGAAGAAGATGCTCCCTGAGTTTCAATAAGGTAACTCACATACCATCACCAATTTATTTGAAGTACAGTCAGAGGGATGTGTCAAAATCCTTAATATCAGTTATATGAGTCGTTACAATAACATATTGGACGATGTATATGGTATAAAGTCAACCGGAAGTTTGAAAATCTTTATATTAAGTATAGAGGGGCTAAGGGATATACAGACATAATATTATCAGGAAAGGACTCTCTCCGGATTTCAATTATATATCTCACACATTGACCGATATTTTCGGTAAACGGTCAGCCAAAGGCACTAGGGTTCGCATATTCGGTATATGGAGGCTTGAATAGTTATGGTTCGATTTTGACAATTTTTAGACTTCATATGGTATATATTAAATGCACTATTTGTGCAAAGCAATATTCATTGCTGCTTGATTTTGATACTGGAAAAAGAAAGAATCAAATACTTTTATTTTAATGTTATGCTATACGGGAAGTAGCCGTGGTTACAGTCCGGAGTGCTTCATAGTACGCCGGAGAACACAGCAGTAAATACGGCGGGTACCAACCAAAGTACCCATAGCATTAACATGGAACCCTTTACCTCTAAAGCGGCCCTGAATAATAATCAAAGTACACTGGCTGCAAAAGAGGATGGTCAGAAAAGGAAACGAAAAAAGTCCCTAAACCAGTAGAGGATAAGCCGGTATCAGAGGCCAATCTTCATACTAGGAAAGATTGCCAAAGATCAGTCTACCGGCACTCCAATTGATGAATAGGGCTTAAAGTGCCAAAAACTGATATTAAAGGAGTATGAAAGCTTCCTGAAAAAAAAAAATCAGAAACTCCTGTCGAACCAAATAGCAAAGTGTTTCACAAAAAAGAAATCGTTCGCTAAATTAAGCGATGGATTGGAACTCAGCCCGAAAAGCACAAGCAAGGAGGTACAGATTCACATAGTGTATCAGCAGCAAGGCACTTCAATGATGTGGTCAAACAGCCTGCAGGAGTCTGTCACAGACGCCAACTCCACCTCACCAAGCACCATACAGTTAGGGGGTAAAATTAGCGACGCCTTTGAAAGCCTCAAATTGATACCCGCTAAAGATATCTCAAGGAGACCTCGTACTCGCATTTGGCGGCGCCTCTGGTGAGTAAGAAGAAAATTATATACGCTGAAAACAGCTTCTTGGCATGCAAAGCGAGTCCGAACGGGTTATTCCCATAATGATGCAGAAGCTAAAAGAACCTTTAACTCTAAGGCTAGAAAAGATATACAAGGCCAGTATTCAATATCTCACATTCCAAAAAGTTGGAAAACAGGCAAAGTGGTGTTCCTCCCTAAACCAGGCATAAGAAAACATGATAACGCAAAAGATTTTAGATTTAGTAGGAGTGAAAGCAATTGCATACGCAGATGACATAGTGCTGATGGTATCAGGGATCTTACCTTCCACAATCAGTTAGATTATGGAAAGAGCCCTACGAAGAGAGCCCTTTTAATACTAATAGTTGAATAAAAAAGGCGGGAGCCTCATGAAAGTACTTTTTAACTTAAGCTATAGTTTCAGCTGTATTACTATTTGCCATCATAATAAGATATTTTAATAATCATATTGGGCCGCGAATAACGGACTAGATGTTAACCCTAGTAAAACGGAGCTGATACTTTTCACGAGTAAAACAAAAATACCTCAATTTAATCATCCCTCATTATGTGGTCACATCAATTTCTCTGTCCCAAACGGCAAAATACCTAGGAGTTGAAATCGATACTAAACTGAATTGGAAAATAACATTGAAAAGCGAATGAACAAAGCGTATATAGCCTACTACATCTGCAAACGAATACTTAGCAGGAACTAGGGCCTCAAACCAAATACCGTAAATGAGTTTACTCGGAACGTAGAAGCAGGTTCTGTATGACTCATAGCCACTGTAACGTTTGGTGAGCATGCGCTTAAAATGGGTCTACAGCTGCAAGCTAGAAATGAATAAGGAAACGGGTTTCCACATCCACTGAAAGCCCAGCTCTATCACAAACACGACACAAAACACTTAGCACCCATCAGGTACCTTAAATGGTCGTTCACAAAAAGAATAACGGACATAAGTAGCTTCATCGAGAGCACCAAATTGTTTGAAACAATTATAAGGTTCTACGATGCTGCATTAAAATGGCGCATTCAGCGCTAATTCAGCCCATTTGGGCAGCACTCCTACCTGCCTACCTATTTCAAGTATGACATAAATAGAAACACCCACTAATGAAGAAAAATGTAAACTGGTTAAAAGGGTAGCAGGAAATTGCTTTTTCGAAATACTTTAGATACAGACATGTACAATATATATCTATACACAAGTATCCATGCACCATATATATAAGTATGTTGTTATGATCAAAATTGGCTCCTGTGTGTACTCACCACGTTTTCATTTTGCTTGCAGATATTAGCGCAACTGCCAACACAGATCGACTGTAATTTAAATTATAAAAAAAATAATAGCTTTGTTGAAGTTGTATCCCAACATATTTACGTGCTGATCATTTTCTCCGCCCTGAAAAGAAAAGATTTTATCATTAGTTACAACACGTAAGTAAAAAATTCAAATATACTACTAAAATGAATGATATAACAAAATTTACTTGTTCTCGTTTAACATAAAATTCCACACTTAATATCGGATAAATTTAAGGTTATAAGCTCTTTCCGTTTTTTCTGCTAATGCGTACATTCATGAGCTATGTGTAAGCAAAAGCTATATTATAACGCTTTTTCTAGCTTCACCTGTATGTTTGTCACTTTTTTCTGTGCAAGCGATTGGTACAGGAGATCGCTTTAACAATTAACACCTATTGGCCGACATTTTTTTTATAGTGGGCGTAGCCCTGCCCCCTAAATGGTTTAATGTATGTACATATATTCGAAACCACTGAAGCTAACTCAACCAAATTTGCCGGAAGGAAGTATTTTTAGCACTTTTCCATACGCAGTGAAAATCGGTAAAATCAGATAATAATTTCATATAAGTTTTAGAAATAAAGCCAAGAAATAATAAATTTTCATATAAATGCTAAGTATATAAAGTCCTGCAAGTAATAAATTTTCATTTAAGTATTAAATATAAAGTCATACAAGTAATCAAATTTCAAAAAAAAAACAACAAATATAAAAATACTTTTGATGTTGTTAGTTGTCATGGTCATAAGCCGATCTTTGAAAACCATATAAATTACCCACGTATACATGAGTTTTTAATTTTTGAATGGGTTAAAATAGAAAAAAGTATTAATTTTCCATTTACTTAAAATTATATTTTATTTTTTATTTTGGAACGCATGCTTATTTTTAGAAAAATATATATGTATATATTTAATTATGAATTGTTTTACTTTTAACACAATTAAGATAATAACTATCCTATCTTTTATGTAAAAAAAAAACTATTTTAGGGGGCATAGGATAGAATAAAACAAGAAAATATTTATAAACATAGATATGTAATATGTATATTCAATTCTTCTCGTAGAAATACTACCTCATACAAATTATATGTGTATCCACCTTTTACAAAATTGAAAAATATTTCTGGGTATGCGGGTTTATTATTATTATTATTAAATATGATATAAAAAACAAAACAAAAATAACAAATTACAATTTTTTTTTAAACAAAAGAACAAAATTTAAATTTAAATACTTATATGAGCATTTTTCGATTTTTGTCTGTAAATCTTATTATTTTGAGTTCAACTGAATTTTTAATAGTCAGTAGTTTTGCCCTTATTTTTTAAAACATAATTAAACTGTTTTGGCATAGAACTAACTAATGATTGTGGAATAATTATGTTAATATTGGCCCATTCTTGCTCTATGGCTAATTTAAGGTGAAGTACTGTCTCATACTGCCTTCCCTTTTGGAAAACACGAGCAGTTAGGATCCCCCAGAGATCCTCGATCGGATTTAGATCCAGGCTCAATGCTGGCCATTGTAATACGGGAATTTTACGGTCATTAAAGGAGTTTTTCGTTACCTGTAGATTGAAGAATTATCCTGCTGATATGTCCAGTTATGGTCATAAATATTGCCAGCAAATCCTATCAACTCACTGTCCAAAAGATCTATATACATTCATTTGAGTGGATATAAAGCACATAGGTGTCCACTCCATTGAAGCAGAATGCAGCCCATACTATCAAGACACCGCCCAAATTGGTATTTATTTGCAAACTGTAAAGTGCTATAATGTGCTTTCCAAGAGCTTTGGTTTAGATACCAAGGCGGTGTGTTTGATAATCTTATTTTCATGTTTAATTTGAACAATTCTATTTCTTGTTATAAGCAGCCGTAACTTGGTCAGTATTTTGCCGCTGCTCATCGAATCCACTACTGCTAGCCGTCGAATTGTTTACATCGATCAATGTTGGTTTTCCGTCCGCTACGTCGCACTGTATCATAATTAGTGCGGTGTTAAAGAAATTTTAATATACAGTTTCGATGTCGCTTTAGTCTAGATGCAATCTTTGATATTTTGGAACCACTTTCATGCACTCCTATGATTATTTCTTATTTCTTGGCTGACTAACTAGTACCAGAAGGTATTTTAGCCTTAAACTTAAATAAATGTAATCAAATCTCAAATAATTCATTAAGCTAATAAACCTACGATAGTTTTCCAAACAAACTTTCGCGACGTTATCAGCAAGAAAGATCAGCTGGCTGATTTTGCTCATATAATATAAATATTTACTAAGCAATACCCAAAGCATAAGCACATTCTAAATGTAACCGTACAACGAACGAGAGAAAAATGAAATCATTTTCATTGCATAGTAACGGCAACATATCAACCGTTTATTCTACATTCACCCAAATTAAAAAAATTTCCGTGAACAAAAAATATAAGCATAAGCAAATATGCACATATTTATTGAGGTATGAACTTTGGAGTCTGTCTAGTGAATGAAAAAGTAAACTCAAACGGGTTAAATTAAAGTCGACATTTTCATAATTAAAGAAAGAACAACATTTCTTTTCCACAAAAGTGCTTTAAATTCTTTAATATTATTACATATTAGGTCAAGTAAAAGGTTCGTTCGTTTTTTTATTGATTTTTCGAAAGATGATACCTTTGTGTACATTTGTCCGATTTAAGTCAAATATGCGTCGTTTTGTTCGTAAACTTGTTGCTAATGAGATGCCAACTTTAATTTTCCCCTCTCGTAGAAGGCTGCGTCCCTATTGGCAAAAAACTCGGAGATCCAATTTTCACAGGTCTCTCTTGAGGCCAACTTCTCATCATTAAGCTCGTTCGCCATGGACAGGAAAAGGTGGTAATCACTTGGTGCCAGGTCCGGACTATGACGGTCTGTTTTCACTATTTCCATGATTTTATCGCAATTTTCGACAACAGGCCTCCCGACGCGTGGTGCATCTTTGACATCGAAATTACCGGAACGGAACCTAGCAAACCACTTTTTGTAAAATATAGCGAATTTATGCGTTAGCGTTATTACTATGGACAATAACGCCATCTCTTAGATAAAAACCGAACGAACCTAATTTTATGATATATTACTTTAGAAGAAGATAAATCAATTAAGCCTCTATTTGTTCCCAATAGACATCTCAAATTAGCTCCAGATATACATATACTCGTAAATAAATATGTTCATATATGCCACTAACCCGAACATCAGGCGGATCAAATATCACCTAAGATGCATAATTTGTAATTTGTTTGTAATTTTAAAGTGCGATTAATATTAACATACTTACATTTTGCAAAACGACCTCGGGCTCCTTAAGACAACACTGCAAATAGTTGTAGAAAAACGATACATTTACAGATGCATTGACATATGTATGTATTTTACAATAATTAAAGATTATACAAAATACGTTTAAAAAATAACAATTTAAATAACACTTAAAAAGAACGTATTTGTATGATTTAGCACAAAAGAAAAAGTGACGATGTTTAAAAAATACTGCGCCTACGCACCCTTTTGGGGGAGTCTCGATCGTCTTCGCCGTATTCTAGCTGCAAATGAAAGTAAAGTTTCAGTTAATTTATAAGCCTTATGTAATAAAATAAAATAAATTTATAAACATAATTAAATCATATCACAAATAATGATATGACATAATATGGAATATTATAAGCATAATTATGTACATTATACAAATAACCACACTTTAATAAATACAGAAGCTATGATACAAACGGTTTTAATTAACGGCGTATGAAATATTATTATCTTTGCTATGTCTTGAATTTTTATGGAGGGTGTAATAGTTTTGAAATATATAAGATATAGGCTAGATATAAGGTTTGATATAGGGTTGTGTATATATAAATGATCAGAACTACGAATCGAGTTGAATTCCAAGTCCGTCCGTGCAAGCGATAACTTGAGTAAAAATTGATATATTGTTATGAAAATTGGTACACATGTCCTTGGCACCCAAGGAGGGTTGGTATTGCAGATGGGTGGAATCGTTTCCACGCCCACAAAACGCCATTAATCGAAAACCTATAAAATGCCATAACTAAGCTACACAATCCTGTTATTTAACAACGAATTGCATAAAAGAAGGGTGCTTTCGGTTTAACAAATTTTTAAAAAGTGGGCGTGGTCCCACAAACTAGGCTCAAGACAAACATTTTTAACATCCCTAGGAAAAGTGTGAAAATGGATGAAATCATATTATAACCACGCCCACTTCCAATATAACGGTTTTGTTAACAACTACTAAATTTGCAATAAATCAATAACTAAATGCGTCAGAGACATTCAATTTTACAGCCTAAATGGTACAAGAGGGCTTATATGAGCCGGTGTCAAAATTGGACGATGGGTATGGCCCCGTTCAAGTTTTGGGGAAATCACATAACTCAGGTTCTACTGGACCACTTTCAATCAAATTCAATACATAAAATAATTCTGGCGATCCTATGTCATATTGTGAAAATGGGTGCAATCGGACTACAACTACGCTTATTTACCATATACCATATTGCACAAAAAGTGTCATTAAGGTATGCCATTTCGAGTTTAAATATTGTCAAAATCGAACCATAACTGTTCAAGCTCCCACATACCGAATAAGTTTTGATAATAATATACTCTTATGTCAACAATGAGTTGAATCGGGACAATATACCATATACCTAATATAAAGATTTTCGAACTTCCAGTTGACTTTATACCACATAATATATATCGGCTAAGTGGGCTAGTTAGTCAAAAATTAATGCAATAAACCCTTCCATTTCCCTGTTCTAAATATACCCTATATAATAATTTTCGCCTTTTCGTAAAAGTTATAAAATTATACTAATGGTTTTTACCTCAATATAATTGAAATTGATCTTGGTCTAAACCTCATATCCCTAATATAATGAATTTTGATCCTTTGGTTAACGATTTTCGCATCAACTCAATGTCTTCAATTTAGTCTCTTCGATTGAGTTTATATCAGAAATACCTCATTTGAGGTTGATTTAAGCATAATTTTCGCTGCCGGGAAGTAAAATATAGTAATAAAACTGAGGAAGATTTTAACCTTCAAAATAGGTTAATATGATACCAAATTTTATTGTAATCCATTCATGATTTCGTCGAACAATGAAATTTCGCTACATTTTTTATTAGTGGACGAGGGAGACGTGCGTTAAGGGGGAAGCGGAACTCATCTAGCCATCCCGGCCCCCCTTAAGCAAATACTAGCCTAGCAGTCGCTGTAGTTGCTGTTGAGGCCAGTGAAGCAGTGATATGATGACCTGGGCTGCCGACGCCGCCTTAATGCCTCCTTTCGCCTGCGTCTGGATGGAGGAGGCGCTGCTGGCATTCGGTGCCTCTGCGGTCTGCTGGGATCTGCTCGCGGTACGGCTACTTGGGGCAAGTTGTCGCCCGACGGCCCGTTTTGGGGTGTGGTGAAGCATGGTGTGGTGCGGCATGTTGCACAGTTGGCAGAAGGTAATGGACTTACACTCCTGAGTAGCGTATACCGTAGCCAAACAATTAAGCCAGTGGTCATGAGCCTAAGCAACCTACTGGCGATGCATGGGCTGCATGCCTCTGAAAATGCTGCTGTGTTACAGCCGGTGTTTGCGTCGACACAGTGGGCATCGGCCGCACTGAGATTCCCTTGTAAGTGTAGAAGAGAGTGGTAGTAGTCGCGTGCCACTACGAGGAGCGGTAGCTGCTGTATTTCGTGGCGCTGGAGTTGCCCAGGGCACGGCACGTTGATGGGCGACCTTACAGTGGCGTTGGTGCTGTTGCCATGTCCACATTCATATTTATCTGAATGAAGAGGTTATTAGGACAATATGTTACATTTGTTGCATGCAAACTTATATATGGAATTGTGCTACGATATGCGGCATAAATGGGTCGTCATGTGGATCGACCATTGCGGTTAGGTTTGTTAGTATTTTCGACCATTTGTGTTATTTCCGGGCTTATCGGCTTGTTATACGATTATTTCATTTGCGTTGCGGTAGTATCGGCAGATTCATTATTTCCGATCTTGGGAGCGTTCCGCTTTGAGAATGGAGATCAATTACTCGTATGTGATCGTCGGAACCGTAATGTAGCTTTTTTACGCGGCCAAGCCGCCATTCTGTGGGTGGTAGACATGATGTGTGATGTATGATGATCATTTTTTATTTGGGGCTTACGACGGGGAATATAGAACTCTTGGCGGACTATATGTTACATTACACTATGTTCCGCGTAAAGCATTAGTAAATGGAGCAATGTGGCAAGTCGAGACATCTCTGGTATAATTAGAGGATGGCGTTCGCTATACGTGAGGTTTGAATTAGCAGGCTGACCTTTCGCAAGAAGCAGACCTTTCGTGTCTATAAATTTGTTAAGAATTAAGAATGAACTCCTATTGTCAATGGGTTTGTATTCTCTTAATAGTGTTATATCGCGGCTGAAGTAGCGCATTTGAGTTGATGCGATTAAAGCGACCTTTGCCTGGAAAATGTGCTGTGATGAAGCATTGAATGATGTCGTTTATGACAGTAAACGCAATTGAATTTGCTTTCGCACAAAACTGTTTTGGTTGATAATATTCCATTTTTTGAATCTCTCGCAATATTTGAGCTTATGCCTCCCTGTGCATAGTTTGGATGACGTTTGTGTGTACTGTTCGCATGTGAACGTTTGGTTTTTGAAGAAGCTTCTATTTAAATTGTTTTTGTGTACTGGCTTGGGGAATATGGAAGCTTCTATTGAAGTCGTGTTGAATAGTTTAGTTATTTTTTTGTCTACCCTTTCGTACTGGGGAGTTAGAAAATATTTCATTTGTTGCTTTGGGGCATTTTCTTCTTGATGAGAGAGTGGGAATGTTTTGTGTCGATAAAACCGACAAACGGCTGGAAACAGTGGATTGAAGTCTAAAAAATTTCTCACTTGTTTCCTTTTGAATTTTAGGCAAGTTCATTAGTATCCTTATTTGCTTATCGACCAATATTCTTTCATATTCATATCTTGCTTTTATAGCTTCCCAAGCCAAATTGAAATTATCGTCATTTTGTGCGATCTGTTCAACTATTACGCCTGCTTGACCTTTTGTTTTGTATCGAGGGTAATACAATTTTTGTGCATTTGATAATTTTGTGTGGTTTATGTAAACATTTCCCGGAAGAACGGCTATTGTTCATAACCACCATGAACATTTTTTGTGTCACATGCGGGCACCTTGAGGTGGATGCCTGAACTTGCCTCTTGGCATTTAATTTGTGGCAGCTCTACTCTTGGCTGTGGAGTAGGTGAAACTGTTTAATTAGCTTTAGTTGATCAGAAATCACTGCATTAGTTTCTTCAAACTGGTCTAAGCAGTTTTCGTATTTGGCGTAAGCCGAAGATTTGAAATTTTCCGGTAATATGCTGGACACGTTTCCAAAAATTGTCAAGATTGTCTTTTTTGATTTCTAATACCGATTCAGAATTGTCTTGAATCGGCGAAGATAAAAAGCGAGTGCAGTTCTTATTAAACTGTCACTCTCAGCAATGAATTTAGTGTAAGAAATGTCTTTACCCCTCTTTTGCTTTGTAGCACCTTGCTTTGAGCGTGTAGCTTCTGCAGGTGTACATGGACTCTTTTCGTCCCAAATAATTTTTGGTACTTCTGCGTTCATTTTAAAAGATGAAGTAAGTGAAATTAAATTTTTTTGTCTCTCAGTGTACACTGATAATATTAGATAAATAAAGACTTTACCTTTCAGATAAATAGGATTTTATTCTTTTGATATTGAACGCAATACGTGTACGAAGTTTTATTACGATATCTTAATTTGTACTCAAGTGACAGCTTGCACAGACAGACGGACGGACAGACAGATTTCAACTCGTCTCATCATCCTGATCATTTATATGTATGGTAATAACCCTATATCTATCTCGTTTAGTTTTAGGTGATACAAACAACCGTTAGGAAAACAAAACTATTATACTCTGTGGCAACATGTTGCTAGAGTATAAAAAGAAAAAATTAAAGCAATACCAAGTAATAAATTAAAATGGCGTAATTAGTATCAAAACAAGTTAGGAAGGCCTTAGTTCGGGTGTAACCGAACATTTTATACTCATGCAACTTGCAAGGATCAAAGCCCAGGAAATTACCTCAGGTGTTGGCAACATTTTATAATAATGGAAGTATTGATCCGATTCAACCCATTTTGACACAAAGACATACTATTATCGAGAGTTTCATTTACTTATTTTATGTGAATTTAAATTATATATCTTACACATTGACCGATATTTTCGGTAAAATGTCAACTATAGGCACTGGGGTCCACATATTCAGTACGTAGGGATTTGAACAGTTTAAGTACAATATAGAGAATTTTTGGTCACAAGATGGCATACTTAAAAGGCATAATTCACGCAAAGTTTTACCACGATACAATCATTATTGCTTGATTTGCATAGTGGAAAGTGAAAGAATCAGATGGAATTTAAAATTGTGTAATATGTGAAATAGGCGTGGTTGTAATCCGATTTCACCCATTTCTCACTATAA